TGTGTAGATCATTAGTCCGGAGTCGCGCCAAGGGCGGAAAAAGATACGTCGCGGGATCGCGTGTGTAGCTTCAGCACCAGGATGTAACTGATTAATAGCAGAGCTGCGTTGTGTCAACTTAACTAGTTCTACTCTACTAGTCTGCGCGCAACGCTGCGGCTCGGGGCTACGAATTCATCCCATAGGTGTATGATAGGATGAGGTTGTTGGCTCTTACTCGCTCTTTCCATCTTCACGAGTGTATCTTCTTAGTTTCTAAGCATTGCACGCTTTCGCAGAGCATCAGAGTGGGATGTATTAATGAGCCTAGCCTCATATATAAGACATTGAATGATTCGCTGTTAACGTCCTTCATGCATGCTTCTTCGAACTTCTTCTTGATCGTGTTTCCGAAGTCGCGGTGGGGTACAAAGTACCCGCACGAGAGAATGGATCGTGTCTACGACCGAAGACGCTCCACGGCCAAGCAGTGCACCGCCGCAACGGTAGAATTCAAATTGTGTCGCGTTCACACGGTGTAGGTTTGAATTCTGCTGTAGCAGAGTGAGCGCAGTGGGTCGACGGGGGGGGGGGGTGGAGGGGGGGGGGCATTGTGCTTTCCATAGATGTGCCGACCCATCTAGGCCTTTTCTCGAGTTGACACGTTTTAGGATGGTGGCTAGACGATCTTGCTCCAGCTTCACAAGAGTTCACAAGTTTTACCAGAGTGAGATTTGTAAACCGGAACTAGGGAAGCAATGGTAGTACAAAATGCCCCCCCCCGTCGACAAACAGCGCCGCAGAGGTGCACTAATTGGCAAGAAGGGCGCTCGCTCGTGGTCGCGCAATCCAAACGATCGGTTCGCGAAGTCTGAATGCGCTCTAACATTCTGTATCTAATGATACAACCTATCACTGCGAATATGACTCTCTTGGGTGCCGGAACAGTTTCCCATCTACTTTGATTTTTGGCAGTTTTGGGTCTTTTTCAGCCATGTGGCAGTTTTGGGTCTTTTTCAGCCAATCTGAAAGAGGTTCTCTTTTCATGACTTGTGCCTGACTGCAAAATTTTCATACCATATGCTAAGGAAATCAGACAATGTTCTGATAAAAGTGACATTTTTGGCTAGTTCTAAGTTTCTTTGATTGATATCGTAAAATTGACAAATGTGGCGCTGTTTGTCGACGGGGGGGGGCATTTTGTACTACCATTGCTTCCCTAGTTCCGGTTTACAAATCTCACCCTGGTAAAACTTGTGAACCCTTGTGAAGCTGGTGCAAGATCGTCTAGCCACCATCCTAAAACGTGTCAACTCGAGAAAAGGGTACCTAGATGGGTTGGCACATCTATGCCCCCCCCCGTCGACAAACTGCGCTGACAAATGTAATTCTTTGGATACATCATTGATACAGTCAGGTACACTTCTCACTGATGTATGGGAAGGTTTATGTGAAAGCGGAACACCGGTATTTCATAAAGGAAACGTCGCTTATGTTCGGAGGGGCTTTGAAAAAACGAAGACGTTGAATCATGGCTGGTTGCTATGCAACAAGTGTGGCGCTCTGCTGATGTGAATGACATTTCTACACCGACGAGTCCCTTTGCAGTACCCTTACCTGGCTCTACGCTTTTCTGGCTGTTGTGCTGACCATTTAACCATCAGGGCCGCTTTCCGTCCCCTGTGCGTCATCTTCAACTCACTGACGAGTCATGGGGTTGAGCAAATAAAAAGTCCGCCTGAGTAGGCAGTGAAACGAGCCACCTTCTAGTTATTTTTTTTCGTGTTGTCTTCGTTACACACATGTTTTCTTCTTATTAATTAATGGCATTTTTGAACATTCGTTCCATGAATCGCGAAGGAAACAGTTCACGATACATGTCATAAACTGAGGTGTTGGTTGCAGGTGAATATGAGTGAAGATTCCGGCGACGTTCCAACCGAACGACGTCGATCTGCTGCGAATTCGAAGAAACCACAACTCACTGCAGAGACGCTGATGAAATCGAGGCACGACAGGGAGCATGTTCTGGGAGAAAGGTTCGAGCACTTTTGTCTTGACTCTTCAGGGTTTTCAGAAAGATTAGTGTTGATGAGTTGAGCTGGACCACGGGGCAGCGCTTCTGCGTCACTTTCCGTAATCAAGGCTTAGGCTTTGAGCACAGATGGTCAGAGTCGCCTAGAGACTTTCTGCTCTTACCCATGTTGGCCATCTGCGCTCCAAGACTAGGTTTGACAAGATCATAAGGACACGAAAACAGACGGTTTACAGTGCCTTTGAAGATTGCGCGTGGAATAAAATGCTCGGCCCCGTGAACGTACACAGTTGGACATACCGTGAGCCGGTTTAGTTTGGACTTTATGAGCCTGACTGACGTGCGTTTCATCATGCGCGGACTATTGCGTGCGCGAGGGCGTGGAGAAGGGGAGGAACGTTCGATTGAGGCGAGGAAGAGAGCGACGTCGATTCCGCTCTCCACCTGTGGGGCTAATGTTGTTTAGATGCGCTGACTTTTGGCTGGCAGCTCATTTTTAAAGTGCCTAAATCCGCTGAGAACCTTGCATATAGAGGTATTCTAACATCCTGTTCACAAATATGACATTCATTCTTGGCGCTGGCGCTAATGGAGGACACTACGATTATCTTCTGGGTTCAGCTTTAGCAGAGGGCAGATAATCGTAGTGTTCTCCATTACCTTCCAGCGCCAAGAATCAATGTCATATTTGTGAACCGGGTGTTAGGTCACCTCTATATACAAGTTTTCAGCGGATTTGATTTAGGCACTTTAAAAATGAGCTCCCAGCCAAAAGTCAGCCC